CCCTGTGAGGGGCAGAGCAGCAAGCTGCTTGAAACACTATAAATCCCAGCTCCTGGTGCTGACAGAGAGATTGAGCCTGGGGGGGTAGAGGGGGCATAACCGCTTCCTCGCTTAGTGGTGTGCAGGGTGCCCTCGTCTGTGGGTCTCATCCTGGGTTTGTGCCCGCTGGGCCGTGGGAGCTGGGCCAGGTCTCCATGGTCTCGTGCTAACTCTTTAGTGGCCACAGTGATGCCCTTGGTGGTGGATCGAAGACCAGTGGCACTTCTGGTCTCGGATCTTAACCTTACTTGTGTCACCCTGAAACACCCTCCTGTCCCGCCCCCAAACGGCAGCAACAGAGCAGGGGCATCCGCCACTTACCTGACTCCATTGCTTGGAGTTTATAGCCTGAGTCCTACATCCAGCTCTGCACAGACTCCCTTGATGTGTAGCCTCGAGCAACTCACATCTCTGCCTCAGTCTCAGTTTCTTATGTTGAACTGAAATAAAATGCTGTGGGTGGTGGGATTTTAGTATTAGCCAGAGAATAATGTGAGGGCTGGCTCGCTTGCTCTCATGCACAAAACCATGCTTCCTGTTTACTTACCTCGGGGAAATCAGGTTAGAAATGAAGATCATCAAGGGCTCTAGTGGCACCCCGAAGCTCAGCTACACGGGGCGGGATGACCGGCACTTTGTGCCCACTGGCCTCTACATCGTCAGGACGGTGAATGGTAGGTGCTGGGGGATTGCTCCCTGTCCGCTTTCCCGCAGCCAGGGTGACTGGCCCACCCGGACCCTGGCTGAGCCAGAGCGAGACCTGCCTACTACAGTGCACGGCAGCCAGGCTGGCATTTCTTTGTATGTTGGGGGTTGGGGACTGTTTCCCGGGCCTCCCTGTTCCTTGGTGGGTCCTGGGGGTCGGGTTGGGGCTGGGGGAGAGGAGCCCAGTTGGTTTGTGTGTACACAGTGTCCTTATGCAGGTAAAGGGCCTTCTCAGGGGGTGGCAGCAAGTCAGTCTTGGCCATTTCTGTCCTCTGTACGGTCCCTTTTCTTCAGTGCCTTCTGGCTAAAGAGCCCTCCCTCCACCAGGGGCCCAGAGTTGTTGCCCCGGCGGCAGGCTGGCAGGACTGGGTTGGGGTTGTTGAGAAGTAATTATCTTAGTTGTCCTCCTTGAGCCCCTTTGGGCTGGTGATAAAGGTCACATTGTCACAGGCTATTCCCTGTCTGCTTTTTGGGAGAGAGGGGAATAGAAGAACAGGAGTGCAGAAAGACACACCCCTAGGTTGGTCTGTTCCTGTCCCCCATGAATATTTTGTGTCCTTTCTGGGCTTTCCCCTCTTCTTCTGTCAGAGCCGTGGACTATGGGATTCAGCAAAAGCTTCAAGAGGAAGTTCTTCTACAATAAGAAAACCAAGATCTCTACCTTTGACCTCCCTGCAGACTCCATCGCCCCATTTCAGTAAGTGGCCCTCCCCCGTGCCTGTCCCCTCCGCAGCCCCAGGTGTTCCTGCCAGGATGCCAGCCATCCCTCTTGGCACACCCCAGATCCCGAGAAAGCTGGCTGCCCGAGCAGGGGCTCCCCTGAGCGTGGGCTGGGCTCCTCCCAAGGGTTGGGGTGTGGCCCCCACGTCTGGGTAGAAGCTCAGTGAGAAGTGAGTGACACCAAGACCTGCTGTGATGGATGGGAGGTCCCCTCCCACCCAGGACCCCCATCCAGGCAGGGCATCTGCCCCATTGGAGCAGCCACTGCTTACAGGACTTTGACACTGGCCTGGTGGTGCAAACCTACCAAGGGCCTGCAGCCCTGTCCCTTGGGAGTCAAGGTCCGAGGCGTCTCTCATGAGGACCCAGTGTCCATTTGCCGGATTGTTAGTCACAGGTTGTGACGGCAGGCAGTAGCCCTAATGCGCCTGTAATTAGCCACTGACACTAGTGTCTGTTGCTACATTAATACTGTTGTATTAGAACAGCACAGACAGATAAACTAGGAACATCAGTAATTAGAGGAATCTAGTTGGACACAATTAGCATTAGCTTCTGTTTGTTGGGAAGGCAGGAGGAGGAGCTGGGGCCCACTGGGTACCTTTTGGGTGCTACAGGGAAGACCCTCAACTGGAGTTAATGACCCACCCCTTTAAGGATAGTCATGGTTGCCAGGGTTGGGGTGGTGATCTCTTGGTCCTGTTCCACCCGGGTGCAGCCCTCTGACCTCCTTTCTCTTCCTTCTCCCCAGCATCTGCTACTATGGCAGGCTCTTCTGGGAGTGGGGGGATGGCATCCATGTGCATGACTCCCAGAAGCCCCAGGACCCAGACAAGCTGTCCAAGGAAGATGTCCTCTCGTTCATCCAGATGCACAGCGCCTGAGGGTGTGGGGATGGCCACCCCTGCTGAATGAGCTGTCGTTCTCTGAGTCTGGGCGCTCTGCCTGGCACTCACAGTACTGGCTTTTTCCCCTCTTCTCGGAAAGGGACTGGGGAGCAGTCACTGCAGCCTGACCGTAAGGGGTGGGTGGTCTCCTCTCCCTAAAGAACTCAGTCGGGGGCCTTCAGAGGATTCTCGCGTTCCTTCTGGGACACCTTTTGGACTTCCCTCCCCGGAGATCTGCCTGGGAACTGTCTTCCCTGCCAGGAATCAGCCTGAAGGATGCTGCTCCTACAGCGGGTTTGAGGTCAGGGTTCAGGGCATGTGTGGCCGGTGGAGGACGTGTCAGAGAACAGCAGGGCTTTGTTTCTGCCATTCTCTCTTGTATCTTGTAGACTCACTTTTCCGAGTTCCGTGCACTGCCCTGAGGGTGGCCATGCCCGTGCTCTGCCCAGCTTTTTATTGGGCCGACCCTGAGTGGGTATAGGCTGGGGGAAGCTGCTGTACAAATCAAGGTTTTGTTTCTTTGAACTTGCTCTGTTTTGATGCCAAGTTGGAGATGATTTGGTCTCCACCCCTGACCCCTGTCCTGGTCTTCCCTAGAGTTCTTCTCAGCCGGACCTCTGACAGTCCCGCAGGCCGGGAAGGGAGGCACATGGGCCATACTTCCCTGACACTGCATCGGGACACAGATAGTGCTGTCTCGATAGCTGGTGTGACTGCCTCCTGGGGTTGTAGAGCCTTCCTGGGCCCCCATCCCCTTTTGATCTGAACCTTGGGCAGCTCTAGAAGAGGAAGCAGCCTTGAAAGACCTGCCTTTTTCTATGCCCCAGCAGTAGTGGCCCCCTGGCAACAGAGGAACCTCGGGATAGGTCACACCCGGCCCTCTGGCGATCATGGCACCCTCCCCATTTGCCACAGGCACCTTGCTACTCCTTTTTTCTTCCCCAGTAGGAAGTACAGTCACTTTTGTTTGTCCTTTTGTGGTCACTCCATTTCCTCTGTCTTGGCAGAGGGGGAAGAAGGGAAGCAGCTTTGGGTTGGGGAGGGCACCTGTGGTTGTTTTTAATGGGAAATACCTCTCAGAGATGCTCTTATCGGCTCCTTAGAGTCCCATCCCAGTGCTAGGCTGGTTTCCATGGCAATAGGGCACTGAGGCTCCCTGTGAGGTTGGAAATGACTCTACCTGGGGGTGGGGGCAGGGGCGGCCTCTCCTAGCCGGCATCCACCCCCTCCCTTCCCCCAGCTTGGTGGCAGCACCGCTGAGAAAGCTGTATTTCTGCTCAGTTGTGGGTATATCAGTGTGTCTTGCAGAATCTTGGATCATTAAAGATAAACATATTTTTAATACCTGTGTGGCTCTGTGCTGGGGCTGTTGCTGTTTGTCCTTGGTGCTGTGTGGTCTGAGATGGGCTTGGATGAAACAGTTTGGGCTGGAGAAGGGGAGAAAGCAGGTTTGTTTAATCAGAGCCTGTACAAGCTCCTGGGCCCTATGGGCCCTGCTGCTTGCTGCCAGAGAGGGGCCCCACCTACGAAGAGTCTGGAAATTATGCAGTTCCTGTTGGAAGCAGGGCCTGGAGAATGAATGAACCCACAGCCCAGCAGGGCAGGGAGGCACCTTCCCCCTTACTTAAATCACACGGCTCACTCTCTGGTGGCTCTGTGACAATCCAGGATCAGTCTGTGTGACTAAAATAACAGAGGCGTCAGACCAATTAGTGTCACTAGACCAGAGGGAGGGAGAGACGGTTTCGCTGACCCCTGGCCAGCCTCCCCTCCACTCTGCGCCTGCACTGGGTGGGCTGAGGTGCGCAGGTGCTGATGGCGCCTCCCTCTCTGCCCAGGGCTAGAGCGTCTCCACCAGCTCCACAGCTCCGGCGCTGGCCCCCTGCAGTCCGCCTATACTGTGCTTGGCTCCTTCCTTCACCCTGGCCCCGAGGGTCTTTCCTTGATGTCTCACAGCCTGAACTCCTAGGGCAGCTCTGTTTCGTTTCCACTTTAATTAGTATAGTCAAGCCCCTGGTCCTTCTGCTTGCCCTACTGTGCTCGGCCTTGCTTGGCCCCCACTCCTGGGCCTGGTGCTGGGAGCAGAGTTGGGGGAGGGGTGGCCTGTGTTTGCTGCTCCTGCCCTCACTCTGGCCGGCCCTGCCCCTGCTGCTTCTCCCTGCCTGATTTAGTGGCCACTGTCACTGTAAGTCTGGTCATTACCATGGCTCTTGCCACCTGTCTACTCTACCAGGCCTCACCAGCCCTGCTTGCCTCTTGAAGATGGGTTAACTCTGTGTTCCTGTGGTACCTCCACACGACCACTTCAAGTCTCTGGTCACCATTTGCTGCACAGGGTGAGTTTTTTGTTTTTTTTTCCTTGCCATAATTACACAGTGGCACTGACTGGAGGCAAGCAGTGTGTTTAGTGGGCATGGTGGACAGCTGGTGCAAGGCCTAAGCCCTGGAAATGGTTCCCAGGATGGTTTTGGCTTTCACATGCTTCCTCCTGTCTCCTGATTCCCCACTTAAGCTGGAGACTCACCTTCGCAGCCCTTCTTTCCCCCTCCCTTCTGAGTTCTAAGCTGAGCACTTCCCCTTGAACATCTTTTCTTCCTGGATTCCCAAGTGCCACCCCCACTGCCCTCCAGCTGCAGTCAGACCATGACATTTACTCAGCAGACAGGAGCAGCCTGGCTGTTCTTTATTGCCTTTCCCTTGGGCTGAGGGAAGAATCAGCACAAAGTCCTTCTGGAGACCGGGGCCCCACAGCAGGACCAGGAGGGAAGAGGGGCTGGGCCAATAGGAAGCCCCATCCAGTGTCTGGGTCAAGGAGAAACGCTCCTGTACCTTGGTTGTCTTAAGGCTTGAAGGGCCTGCTTGGCTGTGACCAGGGGGAACCCCGTGCTGACTGGAGGGATCTTAGGCTCACATGGTCCAGTAGGTGTAGATGAGGGTGAGGAGAATGAAGATGGCCACAGAGAGCACCATGTTCTTCCGGTTCTCCTGCCGAAGCAACTTCAGCTCCTTTTCTGGGAGGAAACAGGTGGACAGGTAGTCTGGGCCCATCTGCTACTCTCCTCCGTCTGCCTCTCTCACAAATGGGGGCATACTGCTGAGGGGCAGACATGTTCCCTCCCAGCTTCTCCACTTCCTTATCCATAAAAATGACTGTCCTCCTTGATCTGCCCAGATTCTCACAACATTCTGGCTACAGATCCTAGTCCAAAGGAATCCCACCAGCCAATGCTGCTCAATCATTTCTCTTCAAATGCAGTGGAAGTTGAGGATGGAGTGTGTGAGGGGTCACCTGACAGCCAAGCTAGGTGTTGGCATGGCATCACCAGGTGAGTCCTCGGGGGTGTCCCTGGGGGTGGGGGCTTCGTAGTGCTCATCCTTTCAGGTGCTCTCATCTGGTCTACTAGAGACTCAGGGCAGCTGGCACTTTTTGGGCTCGACATTAGAGCAGGTACAGGGTGGGGCCAATCATCAGTGCTTCCAGCCCTGCCCCCTGCCAGACGCCCAGCTAAGCAGGAACCAGGGACACTAAGAAAAAGCAGTTTGTACCCACAAGGTGGTTGAGCTCGCCTCTAGAGGAAGCCAGTCCTGTGGCCACACTGAATCCATTCATCCCCCCGTGTGACATGCAGGTGGGTGGTACGGAGGTATCTCGCAGGGAACCGGGGTTGATGCTGCAGCTGTAAAAATTGCTAGGCCTAAAGGGCACCTGGGTAGCCCAGTTAAGTGTCTGACTTGGGCTCAAGTCATGATCTCACAGTTTGTGAGTTCAGGTTCTGCATCTTGCGCTGTTAGCACAGAGCTGGCTTCAGATTCTCTGTCCTTTCTCTGCCCCTCCCCCCCTCAAAATTAAACATTAAAAAAAAATTGCTGGGCTTGAGGCAGAATGGATATTTCACCTCTACTTGTGTGAAGGGGTGAGTAGGTACCTGTAAATCAGCTCTGGGCAGGCCAGACTGAGACTGCAGCCCAGGTAGGGGGCTGTGTGTGTGCTTACAATGTTGATTCAAACTGGTCCCTCTGGGAGGTTCCCTGTCACCTGGACTGTTCTGGGGCTGATTCTTGGCCAGGTGTGGTCTCTCAGGGGGAGGACAGAACAGAGAAGTCAGATAAGCCTCTGTGGACCATCTTCCTCTGAGGTTGGCTGGGGCAGTGTGGGGGTAGGGGTGGTAGCAGCCACTTTCCAACTGTGCACCCTGCCTGGTTCTGCCCCCAGCGCCCAGAAGGTGGCAGCATTGCTCCACCCATAGAAGCCCTTCCTGGTGCCCAAGTGGGAGGTCCATCCTGGGGGGGTGGGGTTCCGAAAACAGATGTGGATATGAGAGTCTCTTCTGGGCCTGTCTACAGCCATTCCCCTTCCTCCCACAGAGGAAGAAGAGACCCGTAGGCCCTTCTATCTCCCCTGAAACAAAGAAACAAACCTGCTCTCCTTCCAGGGCGCTGGGCCTACAGGGGGTTCCTATAGCCTTGGTGGAGGAGCAGAGGGGATGGCTCCCTCCCAAAGAACCCTCTTGATCCCCATCACCTGGCGGGCTCCCTGGACTGTCTGTCCCCTCTGACCCTGGGCCTGGAAGATGGGGCTGGTAAAGGAAGGGAACTTTCTTACCATAGTTAGAGGCTTTATTCATCAGGCTGTTTTTCTCCTTCTCCAGAGACTTCCTGTGAGGGGAGAAAAAGTTTTATGGCTCAAGCCCTTTTCCTTCCCATCTGAGGGGCAGGTGGCACATTGGGGCAGGATGGACAAGAGGCCCAAATCTCCAGTGGCAAGGGGTAGGGCAAATGGAAGCTCAGGGCCAGGACCCCAGGATAAGAATGAGGGGCCAAAGGCAGATGCCTCACCTGGCCTCTGGGCTCAGCTCCACCCCACAGAGCCTGGAGTTTACAGCCTCCAGGTCTCTCCGACACTGTGACAGCTTCTCCTCCAGCCCATCTATCTGAAACACACAGCACACGGGCAGATAGAGATGGCTGACAGAGCCTTTCAACTTCCAAAACAGTTGGGGTCTTAGGATGGCGAAGAAGGGGCCTCTAGGAGTCTTCTTGGACAGCACCCCGGCCCCCCAGCATCTTTGTTTTGCCTTCCTCTACCTCCACACGGTACAGGCCAAGCCCCAGTGCCAACAGCTGTGGGTGTGGTGCAGCTCCCACAGTCGCCCTGCCCCGCAAGCAGGAGCAGTCCCTCTGTCAGCTGCCTCCCCAGCACGCGTGCCGGCCAGGCTGACAGCAGGAGCGGCCTGAGACAGGCCTGGCCCAGGAGGGAACCAGGCACTGCTGTGGGAGGCCCTGCCTGTCCCCAGCACTCCACGCACAGGAGGAATGCGGGATTAGACAGCTAGGGGCCAAGAAGCGGAGGTATTTTTTGCATTGACACACTTACGTTGTAAGAATATATATATTTCCCCATGAGAATCAATAAAAATCACCGAGTGTAAAAAAACAGCTCAAAAACTTGTTTCTTTCTGACTTGGTTCTTGTGCAAAAAACATTGCCTGTCATCAAGGTAGCTGTAACTTGTGGGGCAGAGTAGCTAAGCTCCTCAAAGGCTGGCTCACAAAGGTACTAGTTTTCCCATTTTTAAAAAAAATACAGTTTGAGAGCCATGTTCTTGGGGAAATAATGTGAGCTGTGGGAAAATGTTTTGTAAAATATTGGACTGGATTGTTCAAGCCTGGTTCCTGGCATCATATATGTGGCTTTGAAAGTTCATCTCTGTCCATCTGTCTCCAGGTGTCTAATCGGCCATCTCTCAGGGCCCAGGTCTATTCTGGTACCTCTGCCCTGCTGGAGGGAGCCTCAATTTCAGTGGGGGCAAGACTCAGAGGGCCCGGTGTCCCTCAATGGCAGGTGACTGAATAGTGCCTGGGGTCCCCATGATGCTCAATTTTCCATCTTATCCCCAGGGAGTGAGAGCAAATATAACCTCTATATTGGAGGCTATATAAGAATGAGGGGAAGGACTTTTTTTGAGGAGTCAGACTGGAGCACCCCTCTCCTTACTGGTCTCAGCCAGTTCTCTATCCAGTCCCTTCCAGAAAGGCTCCTGCAGAGACAGGAATCAATGATTATTAAGTGTGGATCCCAGAGTCCCAGGCTGGTGTACTGAGGCCTGTGTCAGGAGGGATGCACTCAAAGCCTTCTGCCCCTCTCCCTGGCCAGCACCCATCCCAGCCACTTCTGAGTCCACCACCTTGCCTCATCCCAACGCCTAGCCCTAGACGCACCATCTCTTCCCTTCCCTACAGCCTCTGCCAACTGCAGCTCCAGAGGCAAGGCCCTGTGGGAGGGAGCAACTGAAGAGCCCTGAATCGACTGCCTGGTTAATTGTGTCATTTCATTGCTAATGGGCACCAAAGGAAGGACTGTCCTGAGGAACAGCCCTAGCCACGAGCTGGGGCTGTGCTGTGGGAAGCCGAACGAAGGCTGTTGTGGAACCTGCACTACAGGGAAATAAGCACTGGGCAGTCAGGCTTGGAACAAGAGGCTGGCATGATTGTCAGCGGAGCTAAATGAGAACAGCAGGTGGTTTAGGCCACCATGCAGCCCCGCCTCCACAACAACACCCTCAACACACAGCCCAGCTCCTGGGGCCCTGAGACTCTGTTTCCATCCCATGGTGTACAAATCACAATCAGGCACCAAATTCCACACTAGGTCCCAAAGCTTAATTCCTGAAGTGCTACCTCCTCCACAGGCCTTCTCTGCTGCTCTTGACCAGAGAAGTATCACTTCCTTCCCTTGGTTCTCCTAAGGCTAACTGCACACTATGTCCTTCCTAGACTCTGGGAACCCCTAGGGCAGGTGTTGTAAACCTGCAGCCCAGGGAGCTAGTCTAGCCCAGATCGGCCCATTCCACTTGTATATGTGACTGCCTGGCTCCTAAGGATGCCTGACTTTGTAGCTCCTATCCTAGAACGGTAGCCATCAGTCTCCCCTTTGTGATCTCCACAAAGCCTGGCCTGCTGCAGTCTTGTAGCCATGGAGGAATGACTACAGTTGAGCGTGAATGGGGCCCAGGGGCCGCAGACAGATCTAGACTTCATGTAGAAACTAGAGCCTGAAACCTTCCCCTAGAGCCCACAGGAGCTCAAAGAAGCTGGAAGGAGAAGCAACCATGCATGCACGTAGATTACGTATTTTGCGCATAACCCAACGCAAGTCTTTAGTCTTGGGTCAAATGTTTTCCTGCCACTCCTTGTGCCAAGTCCTAGTTTGCATGTCATTCTGAGGAGGAAGCAGCCTGGAGATTTCCACTCCTAAACATCTCTGGAAAGCTACCTGGTGCCCAAACAAGTGGTAATTGGCCCAGAACACGGCCGGGAACTCACGCTAAGCAAAATCTTTAAATTGAGGTTGGCAAACCACAAGTGGCCAAGCCAATCTGCTGTCGTGCTCTGGGCAGGGCGTGTGGAGCCGGCGGTAGGAGGCCTTTATCTGAACAAGCCCAATTTATCTGCAGTTCCACTGAATATCCCCACTTTCATTTACCACTTTTTAATGAGGCTTAAACGGACGAACACAAATCAAGGTTTTAGGGACTCAAGTTCTAACCTCCCTCTATGAATATTTATGTCCTGCTGACAGCTCTCTCTGATTCCCTTCTAAATAGCCAAGTTCTCTCTTTTTTTTTTTTTTTTTTTATATAACCCAGCTGCTTGATGTGGGCTGAGTGAGTGGAGGCCGAGACTGTCAGGAAGCTTGTCAGTAGGCCACAAAACCATCCTCAGAAGGTGACTGCTGGCAAACACCCTGCAGCAGTTGCTGAAGCAGAAGGCAGCTCTGAAGCAGCTGTAAGAGTGGGTGCAAAGATCCAGGGTGACCTGGCTGCAGGAAGGCAGGGAGGGAGGGTCCAGATGCAGCTTTTAGTTATGACTGGGGCCAGGAGTGGTGGCTACAGAGTGGGGCTGACTCAAGGTGGGCCCAGAAATGGGGGAGAGGACTCGGAAAGTGGCCTTAAAGGAAGTCCCTCATTGGGTCTTCGGTCAACTCTCAATGACATGCATGTGGATCCTTCACTTTTGCAGATTCCCCAGTGCAAACCTATAATCCTTGGTTAGCTTTCTGCTGCCAGGCTGATGGCAACAGAGGACGATACAGCCAGGACAAGAGAGAGGACACAGGGTTAGGATCAGAATAAAGAGATCAATGTTAAGAAGACTCTAGAAACACAAGGTCCGAGCTGGACAAGCAGTTGGGAGCCCAAGTGCTCAGAAACCTGAAATTGTGCTTCCTGAAAAGTGTGGCAGTACAGAGTATGGGCTGTGATCCGGCCTCAGCTCTCTGCTCACTTGCCTCTAAAGGACTTAATTCTTGTGCAGAACAAAGTTAATGTTTCATATTTCAAAAACTGCTGTTGTCAGAAGAGGCAGTACATGTAAGGTGCTTAGAATCGTGCCTAACACACCCAGTAAGAGTTAAGTAAGTGTGTGCTATCACTATTAACAGAGAATGGTTTTCATTGGACCTCTGGGGAACAAAAAAGTACGTTAATGTGAGGTGAGAGTAAGAGGAGACAGAAGTGGGTGGGCGTGTGATGGAGAGGAATCTCCACTCATCGCAGGCTGGCAGCAGGAAGGGGAGGCCCTCTAGCTTGGTACGGCCATCCTCTGAGTCTGGGGGGGGGAGGGGTGTCGGCGGTGGCGTGGGGGAGGGGGCCCTGCAGTGTGGACCATCAGAACAGCACAGCCCATCCAGCTGGCTCAGGGCACAGCCCGCTGGGAACCTCACGTTCCTGCCTAGGGATGAGGCTTGTGTGGGGCTCTGGAGCTAGCACCGACCTGCTGAGGCTGGGGCTGCTGGCACCCAAGGATGAGGCCAGAGCAGTGCCCAAGGGCAGGACAGACTCAGGTGTGGTCCGGGCACAGATGTGCATCTGAGGAGACATGAAATGGCAGGTGGAGCCTGGCATTTGGAGACCATGTTTACCCACACCATGGCTCTACAGGGCCTGGCACCCAGTTAAGCCCAGAGCAGAAATATGAGGCCCCAGGACTAAAGGCAGAAAGGGGCCCCGTCAAAAAGACTGGACTGATTCCAGTAGGAAGAGAAGGTTATACTCTGGAGGCCATAGTGGCTCCCAGGACTCCTGCCCAACAGGCAGTACAGGCTCAACTGACAAGAAGAGCATGGCCAAGACAAGCTCGCATACTGGGGCTTTTCTGGAGCTACAGGGGACAGTACTGCTGGCTGTGACTGTTACAGGCAAAATGGTTAACAGCCACGGTGGACTGAGACAAGGTACCCATTTAGGCACAGTGTGGGGGCACAGAGTGGATACTGACAATGTAAAATTACATTTAAAAATATCCAGGGTCGCCTGGGTGGCTCAGGTGGTTACGTGTCTGACTCCCAATTTCAGCTCAGATCGTTTATGACCTCACAGTTCATGAGATTGAATCCTGCATGGGGCTCCATGCTGGGCGAGGAGCCTGCTTGAAATTCTCTCTGCCCCTCTCCTCGTATGTGTCCTCGTTCTCTCTCTCTCTCAAAATAAACATTTAAAAAACGTATCCATGCATTATGTTTCTATTCAGAAGACCAAGTGTCCATCCATTTTCACACAGGATAAAAGAACATTGTGTGTAAATCTTTGAGAGGATGGTCAGCAGGTGAAGCACAGGTGCAAAGGGACACCGGAAGTCAGGCGGCGGGGTGAGCTGTGAGTTAGCAAACTGCCCTCTAGCACTTCACACAGAGTAGAGGAGCTGGTAGGTGTGAAAACCCGTGTGCAGCAGCTCAGTGGACGGAGAAGTAGGTGGGCAGCGTGCAGGGTGTCCTGGTAGGAAAGTCTGTTCTTGCCCCTGAGACCATGGGGACCATGGGTCTGAGCCCAGCCAGGAAGATGCAGAGCAGGAGGGAAAAAGAAGTATGTAAGGCAGAGAGGCGGAAGGATACAGGAAGGAGTTGAAGGTCCCAGAGGCGGCCCTGGAACCGGGGT